ATAAGCGGAGACATACTTTCGCAAGCCGAAAGTACGTTGCGTCACGTGTTTTTCCACACATTGGTTGTACAATTGTTGCTGGCTGGGACACGCGGGGTCCGTTGTCAATTTTCCACGCAACGCGACGGACAGCTTCTTTCGTAATTACGACTGTAACATTTATTATTGATATCAACACAATGCGAGGCTGGATATTGCAACCGTGTGCAACGATAATTATTCAACTCGCAGCATCTTCTTCTCGCGTACCGATGTCCACGACTGGCGTGTAAACAGTAATTTTTATCGTTTGCGAAATATAATCACAGACCCCAGGCTTGGTGTCTTCATCGTTTATTCAACGGTTTAATTTTCCCTTGGCGGCGGCGCAACGTTGAAATTCGTAACCTCTTCGAATAATAACGCTGCATTATATATGAAATAGTTAAGCGTTCTCCGTTAATCCATGAATTTTCGCCTGATCATTATTTGATGTCAGTCATCGATTACGTAACGAAGGCGTGCCGCCGTGCATTTCAACTTTTTCAGAGATTTCGTGGAAGAAAAATCACGGAAAAACCTGTCGCGGATTGCACGATTAGGTGGCAGTGGAGAACCCTCGTCCCCTTCGACGAGGTAGATGCGCATAAACGAGCACAAAACAATTTTGGCCGCGGTCCAGCGAAATCGGTGACACGCCGTATATTATTGGTGTCGCATGGATTTGAAAATTTGGCCAGTGCGAGATTTTTGGACCGCTGCCTGACAACTATGGAGATGGTATCGATGGAAAGTAAGTAAGCCGGCAAGAAATCCGACTTTATTCCTATTCGGTGTGTCTCAATTTCTTAGATTATGCACACGCTTTCCACGCTTTGGATTGTTTACGCATGAGACAAAAGTAGAAAAAGAACAAAAAAAAAAAAAAAAAATAAAGTTGCACGACACTTTCTACGCGATTCGAGTATGCATTTAAACGTAGAAATTTGGTTTGCTATACAATATACGAGTGGAACTTGAAAGACGTGGCTTGCGCGGCTGGTAACGCAACACTCCAGCAAACTATCCAAGCAGAAATACGTAATGAGACTACATGTCAATGGATGGCACCACCGATGTATAAAGTTGAGTAGTAGCAGTCTCGAGGCGTGTGACGCTCTTGCCAGCGTTGCACACAGCCGTTGGCTGCCTAATCATCTGTCTATCTGTCTGTCTGTCTGTCTGTCTGTCTGCCTGCCTGCTGCTTTGCTTAAAAGCATTATCGTGCCTTGTACATGTATCGTGCGTGGCTGGATGGTAACGGGCCAAAGTATTCCCGAGTATATCGAGCAATTCGTCAGGAGTACGTTGCACAAGTAATCTGTCGTACTCTGTTATCGTGAAATATTGACCGAGCTTCATTATTGATTCAAACGTAGCCTGCACGATTCGGGCTGACGAAACGGGCTTCTCTCAGCTCGGTTTTCACGGTTTGTTGTTCCCAGCCGTGTTCGCGCGCCGTTTCCGTGTGGTGGACGATAACTTTTCTGATGTATCGATAATCCTCTCGTCGAAACAGGCAATTCGCGTAGTCGTGCGAGCGAGAGCGCGCGAGGTATACACGCGAGCATGTCGCGGATGTAGATAGCAGGTAGCAGATAGAAAGGCGAATCGATAAATGCGTCGCCGGGCTGGTTCGTGTTCAATTTTTCAAACCGTTCTCCGCGAAGAATTCAAGCATTGTTATTCCGCGAGATGAATCCTCCTCGTAAACCTGATGGGTTTCACCGGGCGAATTTTAATTTCGTCCTTGTTGTTGGCTTTTTTCTTCTTCCCCCCCCCCCC